CAGGACATTTCTATTTCTGTTCAAGATATTTCATATCCTACTTTTGGTCCTACCCTTAACCAGGGCATTTCTACTATTCGTCAAGATATTCCTAATCCTACTTTTTGTCCCGCCCTTAACCAGAACATTCCTACTCTCGTTCAAGATATTTCGTATCCTACTTTTGGTCCTACCCTTAACCAGAGCATTTCTACTCTTCGTCAAGATATTCCAAAGCATGCTTTTGGTCTTGCCCTTAACCAGGACATTTCTACCCCCGTTCAAGATATTCCTTGTCCTACTTTTGGTCCTACCCTTAACCAGAATATTTCTACTCTTAGTCAAGATGTTCCTAATTCTACTTTTGATCCAACCCTTAATCAGGACATTTCTACTTCTGTTCAAGATATTTCTTATCCTACTTTTGGTCATACCCTTAACCAGGGCATTTCTACTCTTTGTCAAGATATTCCTAATCCTACTTTTGGTCCCGCCCTTAACCAGAACATTCCTACTCCCGTTCAAGATATTTTATATCCTACTTTTGGTCCAACCATTAACCAGGGCATTTCTACTCTTCCTCAAGATATTCCGAAACCTACTTTTGGTGTTTCCGTTAACCAAGACATTTCTACTCCCGTTCAAAATATTTCTTATCCTACTTTTGGTCCTACCCGTAATCAGAACATTTCTACTCTTCGTCAAGATATTCCTAAACCCACTTTTGATCCTGCCCTTAACCAGAACATTTCTACACCAGGTCAATATTCTGGTTCAGGTTATGCCATGCAAGGAGTTTCTAATGCTGATATGTTGCCCCACACAATGAATACTACAAGTGCAGACGATGTGGAAAAAGCAATGATGGCAGAGGTTTCAGTTACGGCAATGGAAGAATTACTAAAGCTTCTGATCATGAATGAGCCCTTGTGGTTGAGGCCTGTACCTTATGGCAAATGCATTCTTCAGCGTGAATGCTACGAAAGAATATTTCATCGGAGAAATCGCTTCAAGGGTCCTTATGCACATTTAGAGACATCAAGATATTCCAAAACAGTGAACATGAGCGTGACACAATTGTTTGACATGTTTCTAGATGCGGTTAGCACTTTTTAACTCTTCTTATACTTAGTACAATATTTCATAGTAAATTTTAAATTGGTGAATGTGATTATGTTTTAACAATTATAGACTATTTGTTAAAGAGGAAAATGATATATAATCCTACAAATTTTCCTATGCCATAAGAATGTGATACTTTGTTTATTAATATTTGCTTTATAAATGACATTTATCACTTTCTGGCTATGAGAATTTGATAAAATGATATATCACTAGTCTCATGACTAAAGGAGAAATCTTGATGCAATGGCAAAAACAATTAACAGCTTGCAACCTAAATTGTATAAATTAAGTATCAAAGTCTCATATAATAAGAGAATATGAGCCAAAAGTTTATGTGGTGTTAAAACGAATACAATATTAGGTTTTTTTGGCGGAGTTAGACCAACTATTTAAACCAATGTTTTCCCTCTCTCTTTAATTTAATATTACATTGATTATTTATAGTTGAAATTTATATATATATATATATATTTATGATGTGCTCATATTTGTAGGAGAAATGGGTTGCTCTTTTCCCAACCATTGTAAAAAAGGCAAAAACTATACAAGTACTTCAAAATGGTTTATCTGGACACTTGCAATTGGTATGTTATACTGAAAAGGGTTCATGTATTATTTTTCCCCCCTATAATATCTATGATCAATAAGGACTCTTTGTGCAGATGTATGCAGAAATCCACAGTCTTTCACCTTTGGTTCCAACTAGAAAATTCATCTTTCTTCGTTTTTGTAAACAAGTTGAACATGAAACGTGGGCAATAGGAGATGTTTCATTTGATGCCTCAAACCACAGTACTGCTCTTTACCAAACATGGAAGCTACCCTCTGGATGCTTGATCAAGAAATTGACCCATGACTCTTCAAATGTCAGTAACTTATATTAAACAGTACTTATCAATTAGAGTAGGTAAACAATATAATATATGGAAGCTATGGTAATGTAGGTAGAAAATATAATATAGAAGTTATTTATGATGTAATGTAGATATTATTTATAAGTGAGGAGAGATTGACCACCATAAACTTTTTGGAAAATTGTTCAGCTCTGACCTTATATAGTATTTAAATAAATATCATATATAGGCTTATGGTCACTCCTACATTTTTGTTCAGGATCAACACATGTCATGACAAAAAATACTCTAATTTTTTTACGTAAACCTCATTAAAGACAAGCTAGAATTAAACTTTATGGTACTATTTTTAAGGTTGAATTATTGAAGTTTTTGACATATATATACTATATTAACTGCTTTTCTCATAGCCCCATCATTTAATTTGTTGTATTATTGTTGGTCCTTCAATAGTTTCAACTAAAACTTATCATGATAATTTGTTTTATTTTGATAGGTAACTTGGGTGGAACATGTGGAAGTAGATGATAAGAACAAAACTCACCAGCTTTTTACAGAACTTATGTGTGGCAATTTTGTATACGGAGCAGAAAGATGGGTTCTGACACTTGAAAGAATGTGTCAGAGATATGCACAAGCCTCAATCTTACCCAATTGTAACGAAGAAGAAGGTTATTTCTCATCTTTACTCAACACCCCATAATTCCTCCTTCATTATTTACTTGTCCTTTCATCCATTATTGAATGAAAAAATTGCTAATTAGTCCATATGTTATTCACTATTTCAGTGATCGATTTACTTAGAGGAAGTAGAAGTTTAATGGATCTTGCTCAGCACATGGTTAAGATATTCTGTGGAAGTTTGGACATGTCAGAAAATGTAGATTTAACTCAGCACTTAACAAAGGTGAATATGAATAATAGTAATAGCGAGACTAGGGTTTCTGTTCGCAACAACACTATACCAGGTGTTCCAGATGGCATTATTCTCAGTGTTGCTAAATCCTTTTGGATTAACCTTCCTCCTCAAACTGTTATTGATTTCCTGAATGATAGTTCAAAGCGGAATCAGGTTCATACCCTTTATTGAATTTGCATGTATTTTATTTGATTATTAAATCTTGATCTTCAATTATATATATAATGTTGGTATTTAGTAACTATTTTTTTAATACAAATTCTTGTAGTGGGATATTTTGTGTGAAGAAAATCCAATTGTTGAGATACAGCGCATCTCAACTGGAACTAATCCACATAATTTCACATCAATATTACAGGTTCTTAAGCTATCTTTATTTCTACTTTTCTTCATTTCTAGTTTTTTTGTTTGAATATTTTTTAGATTGGTGTATGATTTATATGGTATGTATTTTTTAGATTGGTGTATTTTTCTGTTTGAATATTTGGTGTAATGGTTTTAGTCACCTCTATACTCATAATTTTATATTTAGCTTATACAAAAGTTTTCCTATCATTAACCAGTTGAGGATAAGAATTAAAAAATGTTAAAAATGTATTGACATATGAAGGTCAGTTTCATCTTAAAATCAATTGACAATGAGAGAAGTAGCCCAACATATATTTAAATCATTTCTGAGACAATGAGGCATGTAATGTGTGACTTACTTCCCAACAGTTCAGTACTTATTCAAGTATTAAATATTTTGTTCTCCAAAACATGAATACCCTTTTAATATTTATTCTTAATAAAAGATATAGCCCAAAATAGGATAATTAAATTAAGCTTATCATGCAACAAATCTAGTACTAAATTGAAGAGTCTATAAAAATCCATAAATGTAATTTAAATAAAATTTATACATATATAATATGTGTTTGTTTGAATTGGATTGTATATACTTGATTTTGTTCAGGTGGTTCAGCCCACTATCCAGAAGATGGAAAACATGGTGATTTTACAAGAAAGCTGTGTTGATGACCTTGGAGGTTTGTTAGTATATGCTCCACTAACTATGAAATTAATGAATGATGTTATGATGAAGGGAGAACAGTGTTCAGTGTTGCCCTATGGTTTTACAATATCCAAAGATGGTAGATCAAATAATGGTGTAGGAGAATCTAGTTCTGGACATATTGGAGAATTAGAAGGTTCATTGGTGACTCTATTAATCCAAACATTGGTTTGTACTCCATCTTCAGTAGGACAATTCAATATGGAAAAAGTAGCATCAGTTAATGAGATGGCAGAATCAATAGAGGAGAAGATTAGAGTTTCTTTAAGCTCTTTCCAAACCAATTGATGTTGTTTTGGTTGTATTTGCCTCACTGCATTTATGCATAATCTCCATATCTAAGGTTTTCTGAGCAATTAATTATGTAATAATGAAGTATTTACATGGACCGAAATAGTTTTTATATGCTTCTTCTATATTCCTATTCAGTTGCTTTAACTTTTCTTATATTATGTTATGTAGATTTATTAAATTTTCTCTTGCATCTAAAGTTTCTATTTGGAGATCATATCTTTGTATTTTTTTTTAACTCACTTTCCTATTATTGAATTATTGTGACGGGGTACTGTTGGGAAATAAGTCTCACATGGTATACCTCATTGTTTTGAAAATGCTTTAAAAATATTAACATTTATAATATATGGAATTCCCTCGTAATAAACCATATGTATGATGTTTAAAATAAAATAACTATTTAAAGACAACCTTAAAGTCATAATGACATTAATGACTTGTCATTGAGTACAATAAAACAAGATGGTTCATTAACTACTTTCCTATTTTTAATTGTGGTTAAGGGTCTTTCATGGCATTATTCAGAAAGTGGTTTATCGAGATAATGGTTCTATGGAATTATCTATGTTTCACTATGTTGATGAAACTATGTCAATAAGTGGAGACATTTTGTGGATCATGAAATCTATTTTGCGTTGCTTCAAGGTGAATTTTAACAAAAGTAATCTAATGGAATTGAATATGCATTTCTTTTGTTAATAAGGCTTCACCTTTTCTCAATTGTGATGTGGTTGTATGTATTTTATCTGTTTTGGTGATAGGATTAGGCATAATTGCCCATGTGACTATTTACCAAAAGCATAGGTCTCCACAAAGGAGTAAGACCATGTATAGGGGTTGACACCTGCTTAGTGTCGGAAGGTCAAGGAAGTTGGTGATCTGCTGACAAGGGAGTCGATGACGAAAGCCCCAGTGAACGGTGGTCGTAGCTATAACGATTCTAAGGTAGTGAAATACCTTGCGGGTAAGTTTCGTCCAACAGGCAAAGTCATGTGCAATGAAAATGCAAGTATAGCTTTGGGAGAGATTTTTTCTTGTTTTACTATTGAATTTGATTAACAAATAAATTTTCTACTCCGTCCGAGTTAGAGTCTTGCCAAGTTTTTTAGTCTGACCCTATCTAGCCCGACCCGAATCCAATGCGGGTCAACCCGGACCTGTTCGGATAGCCCATTTTGACTGGTCTTTGTACTTGGAAGTTCAAGAAATATTTAAAAAGTTGCAAGTAATTTATAAAATTATATATTTGTTTCCTATAACTTCATATCTTATTTAGTCAATCAAAAAGAAAAAAAGATTATAAAACATAATTTACATACAATTTAAATTGACAATCAAACACAACTTATTTTACTCAAACATAAAAATATGAAGTTGCAACTTGAATAAGATTGAAAATTTATTTAGTAAGAACTATTTAATTAACATAAAATTACATCACATGTAAATTAACAACATAACATTCGTTCTATTTAATAACATAACACACATATTTACATATTAATATGATATTATAATTATGAATTAACAATATAATATTACACTTTATAATTAACATGATAGTATAATTATTTTATTTTATATACAAGAAGGAACAACGGATATCAAAATCTCTGACTTAAATTATCCATGAATCAAAATCTCGGACTTAAATTATCTATAAATCAATTATCATAGATCTGGACTTGTAAGTATTATCTATAGATACCCAGTAATTCTAATACCGATTGTTATCCCTGGAACATGGCCATATAGTTTACACAATGTAACTGTGCTCCTCTTCAATATGAGTGATTTATGTAGTCAGATAAATAGTGTAATAAATCATATAAGCAATGAAACTGGTCCTACTCCAATTTTTCGAAACTCGTGGCTACTTAGAGCCCAAAACATGTTAGTAAATGTATTTTCTATCATGCAGTGCCGTTGGGGTCATGGAGCTTTTTTTTTTTTTTTTTTTTTGTACTGTCAATGATATTTCCTCGTCTTTTTTTATAAAGAACTAATTCCTTTTGGGATATATAGTTATTCCTTCTAACAAGTATTGTTCTTAATAATTAAACTCTTAACCTTTTAGTCTTAAAAATCTAGTGTGATCTTATACTACTATATCAAAAAAAAAAGTTGTTGGTGGTTATAGTTTGTTTTCATCTTTCATTGATGCATTATAAGAGGTCCCACGAGGGTCTAGCATGAATGACAAAGATAGAGATCACTCGTCCCAAACGGTGTCTTAATCTCTGTACCGATCCAATAAAAATGTTACATTTTATTTTTTAAAAATTTATTTTATTTATATGATAATATTTCATTGGTCCGGAATAGGGAATGAGACACCATTTGGGACAGGTGATCCTCATCCGAATGACAATAGAAAAATAGTTGAATGGAATACTTTTCTTGAGTAAAGGAAGAATTTTCCTCTAACTAAGGATAGTACTAAATTTTCATTCTCAGTTTTCATATGTGGTCTATAACAATAATAGTACCATAATAGGAGATGTATACATATACCATTGAATAATAAACTGTCCAAAAAGCTAATTGATTATGTTGTTATTATCATATGCTACTAGTCATAACAATCTTGTATCTTTCACTAAAAATTCAAAATAATTAAGAGTAAAAATCTTCTTTTACCTTAAGTACTATTTTCTTAATCAATTATTAGTCCATCATAAATTATTTTTATCAATCCAATCCTTATGGGTTAAAATCGTTAATTTTTTTATTTATCTCCATATCTATTATTATAGTTTTACATTAACCTAGAAACAATTTTTTCTCCAAATAATAGATAATTGAGAGTATTCTCAAATTATATTTAAAGTACTGGTTCTTATTTTGAAAATTATTTTAATGTTTTAAAAAAAGTAATAAAGTTAACGCAGAGAATTCAATGCACCTAATTAATGCTACGGTTTGTAGTTGATGTTTTATTTTATATTTAATATTTATTCATTGATATTATATGATTTTTTTTTGTATCATTATCAATATATCATTCATCATCTCTAACAATTAATTCTAATATTAAAATAATACACCGGATATGAAATGATGTAGTGATTTTGAAGAAAAATAAAAACTTTATTATTTAATGATCCCATTCCTTAAATAATAAATTGTGTATAGAAAATGTAAAGTCTTATTAAAAGGGACTAATAAAAATGAGTAAAAGAAATATTTCTTAAAAATGTAGTAAAAAATCTAAGTACGTATTTGCTGTTAAATTAATAAGGGTATCTTCATAATCACATTACACAATGACACTCATTGTTGGGAGAAAATATATGCAGTGGTGATGCTGTTTTAAGTAACACAAGTTCAGTTTTCAAGTAATGTTTCATATTTGAGTCGGTGCATGAAAACACACGTGGTTTAGATAAAAAAAGTAACAGAAAATGCATCTTCATATTACTATTATAAATATTATATTTGAGAAAAAAATATATATATGGTGTATGAGTTTTACGCTGAGTTTTACGCATTGTCACCGTATTATTTACCATTTTTATTTTATTGTCTTGGACTCTTATAAAAAGTAATAAAAATGAACGATGAATAATATATTGACTGTGTCTTAAATCTTTAGTCTGATAGTTGGTGCATATATTCTAACCCACTATTGTTCAGAAACAAAACATATGTTTGTTCTATCAAAGAAAATTCAGTTGTAGGCTTTAGGGGTGAGAGAAAATGGTGTTATCAGAACAACATAGTTGGGGGAAAAGCAAAGTATTCACCTTCCAAGTCCTTAGAGGAAGATGGTTCATGGTGTTTTCTTCATTCATGATCATGTCAGTATTTGGTGCAAGTTACATGTTTGCCCTTTATTCCAGAGAAATCAAGTTAGTTTTGGGTTATGACCAATCCACTCTTAACCTCTTAAGCTTCTTCAAGGATTTAGGATCCAACATAGGCATTCTTTCAGGCCTAATCAATGAGGTTACCCCTCCTTATGTTGTCTTAACAATTGGTGGGGTTCTCAACTTTTTTGGGTACTTTATGGTATGGCTTGTTGTGACAAAAAACATTGCTAAGCCTCAAGTTTGGAACATGTGTTTGTACATTTTTATTGGAACAAATTCTCATTGTTCCATTAACACTGGAGCATTGGTCACTAGTGTAAAGAATTTCCCTGGAAGTAGAGGCATTGTTATAGGCATTTTGAGTGGTTATCTTGGTTTGAGTGCTGCAATTATCACTCAGATATACTATGCTTTCTGTGGAAATGATTCAAAATCTCTTATTCTTCTTATTGCATGGTTACCAAGTGCTATAACTTTTGTTTTTTTACCAGTTATCAGGCACCACAGGAAAATTCAACAGCAAAGTGATTCCAAAGTTTTCTATAATTTCCTCTATTTGACACTAGTCCTTGCAGGGTTCCTCATGATTATAATCATAGTGGAGAAATGTGTCACACTTACTCAGAGTGAGTATTATGTCACTTTTTTTGTGATGCTTCTTTTACTCATTCTGCCCCTTGTTGTTGTTATTATAGAAGAACACAAGATTTGGAAGAGGAAACAAGAAAACATATATAGTGAAAACCCTCCTAAGCCTCTGAATGTAACTACAGAGAAGCCAAATCTAGTGATATCAACTCAAAGACAAGTTTCCTTATGGAAAAACATGTTCAAGCCTCCAAGTACAGGTGAAGATCACACAATATTTCAAGCCATTTTCAGCCCTGAAATGGTTATTCTTTTCCTAGCCACAATTTGTGGACTTGGTGGTACCCTTACTGTGGTTAACAACTTGGGTCAGATTGGAACATCTTTAGGATACCCTCCACATAGTATAACAACATTTGTGTCCCTTATGGCTATTTGGATCTACCTAGGTAAAATAGTTCAAGGAGTTGTGTCAGAAATTATGATAACCAAATTTAAAGTCCCTAGGCCTCTCATGCTAACATTAATCCTTTTGTTGTCTTGTATTGGTCACCTTTTAATTGCATTCAATGTCCCAAATGGTCTCTATGTAGCATCAATTATCATTGGGTTCTGTTTTGGAGCAAACTGGCCAATACTCTATTCCATCATATCTGAACTTTTTGGCCTTAAATATTACTCAACATTGTACAATGTTGGGTCAATAGCAAGTCCAATTGGGTCATATTTGCTCAATGTGAAGGTTGCAGGGAATCTGTATGATAGGGAAGCAAGAAAGCAAATGGCAGCATTAGGACTAAAGAGAAAGCCAGGGGAAGAGTTGAATTGCAATGGAAGTGAGTGCTACAAAATGGCTTTTATTATAATCACTGCAGTTAGCTTTTTTGGAGCACTTGTGTCCCTCATTTTGGTGCTAAGGACTAGAGAGTTTTATAGAAATGACATATATAACAAGTTTAAAGAGGAAGCTAGAACTGCTGAGAATGAAGGGTAAATATATTTGTCTAGGAATTGGTAAATAGTTTATGATTGGCATAGATTGATAAAAGGAATTTAGACATGGAGCAACTGCTACAACAAATGCAATAAAATTCAGAAATGTTTGTAATTTATAGTGGAGTGGAAGTTATTGTAATGTTTTCTTGTCTACAATAAATTGGTAGCTGTAAAATAGTGTATATCTTTAGAACAAATAAATGAAATTGTTTGCATTAAGTTGTTTTCTTATTCTGCTTCCTTTCATCATTCATATAATCATAATCAAGAGTTTAGATAAACCATTTAAGTTAATGAAAAGGTTATAAAATAGTAGAAAGCTAATAGAAATTATGGGTAGAAACTTACAGTTGATAAGTTAGTTGATGAAATCAGAACCACTTGGTAAGATTAACTAATATAAGCTAACTGACATGTGTAAAATGAAATAAGCCTTTAATTAAGAACTAAAAAACTACCTCAATTACAAGCTTATAAACTCATATCTTAATGAAATAAGCCAATTTATAAAAAACTAGCGTACTTTTTTCTAGAAAAACTTGTTAAGTAACTTATAAGCCTTTTGGTAGCACCAAACCCACACAAAAGTAAAATTTATAA